AAAGCAAGCAGAAAGTTTTTCAATCATTCAAATCGGACCTTAGTTCTCTCAAAAACTGCTATTTTTTGCACATTTAGCTCTGTATCTCCAAAACCGCTGGACCTGCCTTTGCCAAAACTAATCACCCCTTCTCCCTGTCATTACAAATTGAATGTTTTTGGATCATTCAAATCAGATGCTCCTTTCTCTCAAAAATCGATTCCTATTTTCTGCACTCTATGCTCCGTATCTCCGAAACGGCTGGACTGCCTTTGCCAAAAACTACTCAACTTTTTTTGAACCGTTCAAATCGGTTGATCCGTGCGCCCGAAAACGTGGACAAAAAAATGGGGCATACCGTTCAGAAACCGTTGAAATAAAGATATATAAAAATTTTCATTTTCAATTACCCTACGGGAAGTTAATAAAAATGCAAATGTATGAACAAAGTTAACGATTTTATTACGATGATTATATATAATATACAAACTACTACACAATCATCTAAATAAAAATATAAAATCCTGAGAACGAAGCAAAATAGCAAATAATTTTGGTAAAATCAAAGAAAATATAGATATATGTGCAATAACTATCATAAACAGGTATTGAATAATATTTGTACCTAACCTTTATACACTTCTACATACAGATACTTTATATTCTTCCAAAAGGTACATCATTTTTTACATCTAAATATATGTGGAAGTTTTGTAGGTCTGTTTTTTCTTTTAATTTGTTGTATTAATACATTTGGCAACCTATTGTTAGTTTGTCTTTGAACAACGACTTAATTACATAAAATTCATGAACATTTGGTTTGTAACACAGAGCCATAAATATATTTTTATACATACAGAGTATAATAATACATAGTTTTGTATATCTATTGCAATTATTTGTATTTTACCTTTTGTACCTTGAATATTTATTATTTTAAACAATCAATGCCATTCATAGAGTGATACAGGCCTTGACAACCAAAATTAGATAATTGAAACAGACAATTGGATTTTTGGGGAAAACAAAAAACCTAAAAGACAAGCCAAATGATGGCTCTTGAAAGATGTAATAAAGGGACCGATTCTGCCCTATAACAGAAAAATGTTATGACAAGGCCATGTTATGAAGAACTTTCCATACTAAATATTGAAAAGCCATGTGATTGGCGTGCACTCGGGCGTATTTCTCAATTTGTCAGATAGAAAACCTAACCTAGAAACCGCACAAATGTTAAAAAATCGATCTTAGATAACAGGGTCTTTCTGACCCACCTCCATAACACAAGAGTAATGTTGCAGTTTATGTGTAAAACGCCTGAATGCACGGCAAATACATGACATTTTGACAATATTGTTGAGTATGGTTCAGTAGCATAATGTATGGAAGCTGAACGTAACATGGCCTTGCCATAACAATTTTGTGTAATGTGGCAGAGTCGATCCCAAGCTTTGAAAATCTTGCTTCCCACAATAAAAAATGGTTTACTCTCAAGACTGGGTAAGGTCTCAAACCTTACTTTAAAAAAATCCATTAGTTCTCCAAACTGATCTTTTAATTTTTTCTTTTGGTTGCCAAGGCCTGGCAGAATTATGAGTGCTCAGGTCTATCGGTTTACTTAAATGAACATGATACCATAAAATATATAAAGTCTATTATATCATATACGATTTAATATATTAAGCGTGATTTGCAATATATTAATTTCAGGGGCAGTTGTACAACGATATCAATGTTTATTTGATATATAGAAAATGCTGTAGGTTACAATTTTCGGCAGTGGATTATGAAACTTATGCAAAGTTGTTCTATCATCAATTGTAATAGAATATTAGTTGTTATATAATATAGGATAAAATTCTTGAATTTAGACATTAGAGAAAAAATTAGTTTTTAGAAAAGATGCTCTAAATATTCTTTATGAACTTTTTGTCTTTTCCAGTACTCCTAAATTTTGCAGAAAAATGTTTACTCTTAATAAAAATGAAAAAAAAATGTTTACCTTCAATATACATGATATTCTATTAAAAATGGTAATAATTCTATTAAGTACAATATTAATTGATAATAGAACAACTTTTTAACCCTTTCGCTACGAGAGTGAAAACTGAAAAAATATTTTATAATCAAAAATGTATTTTTTTTTTCAAATATTCTCAAAAATCTAATTAAATATACTTTATTAGATTTTTGAAATTTTTTGAAAAAATTGGCATTTTTCGAAAATTTAAACATTTTTATGTTGTGATTTTTTTGAAAATTTCTTTTTAAAGCAATTGGGCTGCGCAACTGTTTTAAACATGAAATATCGAAGCGCGTAAGCGCCGTGTCGCGGTCTAACAGATTGGTTAACATTGGTACGGAATCCACAGAAATACAAACAAACTTAAACCTCTATAAAACAACTAATAATTTGATGTCCATATGTCTAATGAATTAATTATTATTATTTTTAACCGCAAAATGTTTGTTTAAATTTTTGTATTGGATTTCCGAAACCGCTGGATTTGCCTTCCCAAAAATTTAATCAGTAGTTCATTTCGTCAGTACAAGTAAAATATTTCTTGAATTATTGACATCAAACGCGTCCGTTCTCTCAAAAACTAAATTACCATTTTATGCATCTCCCCATCAATACAAATCGAATGTTTATCTTTTGCAAATCGGTTGATGCGTTTTGCCGAAATCGTTAACAAAAATTTGTAATCGCACACACCACACACATACACATACACATACACATACACATACACACACATACACATACATTTTTTCTACGGTATGCCAAAAGGTTCAGAAAGGTCAGATTTTCTGCGATTATTGCACTTGTAAAAAACTAAAAACCACAGTAACAAATTAAAATTTTCAATAATTCAACTCAGAGAGCTAATTATTGAAGCAAAATTCGTCACACTGGATTTTGTCTACACGTACACACAGGTCGTAGCAAAAGGGTTAATATAACTATCTTGGAACATGTGAAGATATTTGTTTTATACATAGTATCAGCAAAAATCTTTTACGTAGAGAATCATCAGTAAAACATTTTTGCTGAAATTGTTTTATGAGCATCCAAGATTTAAGAGTAGAATATTCATAAAATTTGTCGCCTGGATTAAAAATATTTATAAAATCAATGTTTTTAGGTACTTGCTTCACAAAACAACCATATCTACCTAATGAAACAACACACATAGATGTAACATACAATTGTACCTGTTTTTGTGATTGTGAATATAAGATTACTATACTTTACATCTTATTAATTTTTCATGCAGTCATTTATTACTATATGTTCAATATTAAATATTAAATAAAAAAAACGTTTCTTTTGCAACCATAACGCACACAATTATAGATTAACAACACTTTTCCATATTTTGAGTACTTAAAAACACATAATTTACAATATGTACAAAGAAAACGACTAATTAAAAAAAGAATAGGCTAATTGAAATTATAATGTGATTACAAAAATGTATCACAACGTGAACAGATTGTTCAATAATATGATCATGTTGGATGAATTTATAGTCAAATATAAAATTATTATTGAACGACATGTTCTTAGAGGTAGTCTTCATGAAGTTGTATTTTATATGACTTAAAGATTTAAAATTGAAACATGGACACATTGATGAAGTAGCCAGGTAAATATATACATATTAGGGTGGTCCTTAATATGGAAATTTTTGAAGTTCCTTGCTCCCAGGAGCTCAAAGGCTTCCAAATTAATAAAACAAAATCCTCTATAAGTTTTAGCTCTTAATAATGTCTTTTAGATAGTGCGCAATTCAATCAAAGTTGTGTGTGGAAATAGCCTGAGAAAA